AACCTCCAGAAGCTGTTGGACTCCAGTTCCCCAAATGGCCAATGGTCAGAAATCACTAGATTCAGGGCTTTTTTTCAGCCCGAGTGCAGTTCCGGCACCTCTCAGGTGGTGGGTGCCATTGTGGGGTGGCTTTCTGACATGGTCCTGTTGTCTTCTGCTGCCACCAGTTGCCAGAGTGGGAAAGGGGAAGCAGACAGGATGGGAAGCTGGGGAGAGTGTCATGAAATTCTACTCAGTATTGATCCAGAGTAGATTCCAATGTATAGTTAGCAGAGCAAAAGCTTAAACAAGTATCAGTTTGAACTTATTGGTACAGAAGGTATTGATCTGATGTGTAGATATCTTTCCTATTCTTTTTAATTCAAGAGGGTTCTGGAAGCTTCTCGGTGTGGAAGAAACAAGCAGAAGGTTCATGGTGTTTGGGTACAGCTGAATACAGCTGGCTTAAACTGGTTCTCCTACCTCTTTCTGTCAAGGTCATGTTGACTATAAAAGTAAGGCCAGAAGGATCCTGTGTTTCACGTTCTCTTTCTGTCTCTCTTCCTTCTGGTGTGGTGTTTGACAGTGGAATTTGCTGCCAAGGAGTGTGGTGGAGTCTCCTTCTTTGGAGGTCTTTAAGCAGAGGCTTGACAACCATATGTCAGGAGTGCTCTGATGGTGTTTCCTGCTTGGCAGGGGGTTGGACTCGATGGCCCTTGTGGTATCTTCCAACTCTATGATTCTATGTTCTGTACACAGGATGCTATATAGTGCTAAAGTTTAGACTTATTATAAGTTATTGCAAGTTTAAGTTAAGTCTGCTGCAACTGGATTTCTTATGGACTGGGCCAATCCTGAATGTACAGTGGTACCTCGGGTTACATACGCTTCAGGTTACAGGTTACAGACTCTGCTAACCCAGAAATAGTACCTTGGGTTTGTACTTTGCTTCAGGATGAGAACAGAAATTGTGCAGCGGCAGCGCAGTGGCAGCAGGAGGCCCCATTAGCTACAGTGGTGCTTCAGGTTAAGAACAGTTTCAGGTTAAGAACGGACCTCCGGAATGAATTAAGTACGTAACCAGAGGTACCACTGTATTGGATTTGTGACCATTATGCTCATTTGCCTTCAGTAGAAATAGTAAACTGGGCTGAATGAATTACAATTGCCTCTGGTCTATTTTTGGGGAATCCTGCAATGTGTTTAAGTTTTTACTCTGCTAACTACACATTGGAGTTCTGCTCTGGATCAATATTGAGTAGAATTCTATGACAGAGAGGTCACTGCAATTCTGAGCCTCGAGTACCACCCTCATGGAAATGGGGCTGGCGGGGGACGAAGAGAGAATGGGAGGCGTGCATAGGCAGGTGGGTGGGCTTGACATGGACACCCCCCGGGGAAACACCTTCGCCAGGAGAGGTTGAGGCTACTAGCGACGACGGCTCAGTGGAACCTCCAGGGTCAGAGTGAGTCTATCACTCTGAACAAGAGGCACAGCTCCCTATAAGACGGTGCAGCCAGCATCTTGTCGCATGGTTTTTGCTTCAAGATGGCAGCGTCGGCAGCGTTTGGGTTGGCGAGTGTGGAGGTGAGTCCCGGCACTTTTTATTCCAGAAAAAAAGGAACCCAGTAACATCTGTCTCTGGTTCTAGTGATATCTACTCAGCTCCTTTCAGCAAGCTTAGCAATGACTGACCAGAACCTTATGGAGATTAACATTAAGAGTTATTTGGCTAGAGAATCAATCCAGGAACCCTTTCGCTAGAGAACCAATAGGAAAGCAAGAAGTTGGGGCAGCAAAGCAAGGAAAATCATTTGCCTCATTGGTTTGGTCCTCAGCGCCGTCTTCAAACTCTCTATGGTTTTGCTGCGCTCTTCTTCATCTTCTTTTTCCAAAGCAATCAACGATTTTCTCTGCAAAAGGTAAAAAGAAAATCACCGCAAGAAATAAGTTAGGCACAGCCAGCTTATTTACATACCGCATTTTGCACGGAAGCCAGAATACACAATAAACATGAACATCCCAGCAAAACACAACCCCAGCCTCCCAGCATATATAAGGGTCTGGTGACTACTGTTTCAGTGTGTATCTGAAGAAGTGGGCATGCACACGAAAGTTTATACCTAGAACAAACTTGGTTGGTCTCTAAGGTGCTACTGGACTATTTTTATTATTATTATTTTGACTGCGTCAGACCAACACGGCTACTTACCCGAATCTAGAATCCCAGCACAACGCGAAGTAGATCAGCGAAGAGGCAGACTCCCAATTGTTTAGTAACACTAATAACAAAAAAAGACTCCGCTGCCCTGTAAATTACACTACTAATTTAAGAAAGCTTGGGGGGAAAACCAGAAGTGGATTTTTGTGTGACGGGACTGGGAGCTCAGTTCTAGCACTGATTCCTAAGCTAAGCAGGTGCACAGAGGGCTCCTGTTCTTTACTTCCAGGAGTATGTTGCTCCACCACTGCAAGTCACTGGTTTGCACCAGGCTCTGATTGGTGGACCTCATAGGCAGGTGGTGGTGGAGCAAGTAGATCCTGTGAGCCTAAAGTCTGTGCAGGCTTGATGTAAAAGCAGATTCATATGCTTGCATTTCCATTGCTTTGTGACACCCTGTTTAATATGCAACTATTCATACTGAGCTGAAAAATATTCAGCCCCACAGCAACCGATTCTGTAGGAAGTTAATGCTAATGAAACAGAAGAGAAATCACAAAGGACAAGGAGGAAGGGCAGAGAAGCATTTAACGGCACACTAGCAATTAGGCCATATTTAATTTCATTTAGCAATATAGCATTATTAGCATAGTGCCTGCTTATAGCCCAAATGGCTTCTATTGTGCCCAGTACATGAGTCTAAATGGACACAGGAGAATAGCAACTGATAACTAAGGTTGCAATCCTGTGCACACTTAGGAATAAACTCCATCTAATTCAATGGGATTGATTTCTGACTAAACATACGCAGGATTGCCCTGTAAGACTCAAAAGTGTATGGTAATGGACAGATCAAAATCCATTGCGAACAAAGACAGAACAACGGGGTTACTACATCTAGTTTAGGAAAAGTGAATACAGTTCAGAGACATGTGTTTCAACTTTTTACAATTTCATGGGGAGGAAAGGAGGTTTTGTGAGATTTCCAGTTTTGGGAGAGCATGGATGGCTCATAAATTTCCCAAACTGAATCTCAAGACATTTTGCAAAATTTCAACAGACGCATGTGGATTTGCACAAATGCAACAGGATGCTTAATTCTCTGTGCCAAACCATGTCCTGAAATTCAACTTTCAAGGAAAATCCTTCTCTAAGTGACATTTTCCCCAACCTGACAATCAGAAATCTCCACATGGTTGCAATTGGACCCATGCCAGTTGCAAAATGCGCCTGGCGCCTGGCTAATTTCTAACACTGACAACAGACCTCTTCCTGAAACCCTGGAGAGTCACCCTCAGTGTAAACCATGGCTGGGGAAACTGAGACCTCCTGGATTCCATTGGACAACAATCCCCATCGTTCCTGATCACAGGCTATTATGGCTGTGGCTGATGGGAGTTGGAGTCTGAAGGGGCAAATGTACCCCACCCCTGCTATAGACAATGTGTTGCTAGACAGGCCAGTGGTCTGATTCAGGATAACTTCCTCTCTGTCCCTGTCTCCAAAACATGCTTTTTGGAAAACTCTACCCAACACACTCTTTATAGTGGCATGAGTTTGTGGATGCCAGACTTTTAATCCTTATAATCCTAGTGCTATGTACTGAGTTGAATAGGGTCCAAAATGCAGCAGTCTGATTGGTCCTAAAATAATAGGATCCAGAATGCAGCAGTCTGATTGGTCCACAGGAGCCACCCAATCCAGTTCCAGGTGGAAGGGAATCCGCAACCTCATTGGCCTGCAGGAGAATCCCAGAATTAGCCAATCACATGGGGTCCATTGTGTAAATAATGTATATAAGGCAGACACTCTGGGGGAACTTCCATTCCTCCTTACCACTATGAGCTGAATAAAGAGCATGAAATCCACGCCTGACTCCGAGTATATTTCACCTAGCAAGTGTTATAAAATAAGCCAGGCTAACTTCCTCAGGAGGTGATCGCCTGGGCGAAGGGCCATTAAGAAAAAGGAGGTGTGATGGGCCATTAAGAGAGCAAAAGAGAGGGGGCTCTGTCCCAGAACACCAATGGGTGAGTCCCCTCCTCCAGCTCACAGATAGTGAGACGGACAAAAGCCAGAGTTTAGAGTTGAAGAGTGTGTGTAATGTGACCTAGAAGTAAAAAGTTGCAGGCTCAAAAGCCAGAGGGGCAAATAAGGATGTTTGCTTTCTGCTAGAGTCCAAGGGAGAAGCAAGACCCTTTGATGTTGTGAACCCCTCCATCGTATGCTCAGGTTGCATATATGTGGAAATAAACCACATCTATATCCTAAAGAGACCGCAGTCTCTGCTGTGCCTCCTTTGCAAAAGGAAACAAGCCCTAGGGGAGCTCCTGGAACCCCTGGAATCTTGCACCGCTCGGAGGTCAGGGTGGCGTGCAACAACATGGGATCTCTAGCCGCGGTGACCCCGCTCCCTCCTGACTTTGTCATCTGCGTCCCATGTTTGCTTTAAAGGGGACACTGCAAAGAGGAGCTCCTGGTGGCATTGCCAAGCTACCAAACACAAACACACACCACCCGCTGATATTCAAAGCTGCCCAGGCATTCTGCAAAAAGCACTTCAACATCAGACAGTTTCATAAGTGATCTAATCAACAGCACATTATCTTGTGCCCGTGGCAAGTGGAAGAGTCCAAGGAAGGATTCTATAAGCAGCCTCCAAGCCTTTGCTCCATTGCCAGGGACATCTAAGAAAGGAATCCCTTTCTAATGTTTACTCAGCCTCTTCTTTCCCTCCCTCTTTTTGGGGGGGTGGAAAAAGCTGCCTGTTTGCACAGAGGAAGTCAGACCCACGGGTCAACCTAGCTCAGTACTGTCTGCTCAGACTGAAAGCGACTCTCCAGGGTTCCCAGCCCTACTTGGAGATGCCAGGGATTGAACCTGGGACCTTCTGCATGCAAAGCAGATGCTCTACCCACTGAGCTATACAGTCCTTTCCCTAAAAAGATGCCCTGCACCACTGGGTCTACCTAGCTTAGCCTACACTGGCTGGCAGCACTTTCTGCCCTTCAGACTGTGACTTCTGATCCCAAAATGTTTTCCTGCTTTTATAGCTCAGTTTGTAAGGTACAAGACTCTTAATCTCATGGCTGTGGGTTTGAGCCCCTCGTTCGGCCAAAAAAAAATCCTGCATTGCTGGGGGTTGGACTAGATGACCCTCCGGGGTCCCTTCCAACTCTATGATTCTAGTTTTCCATGAGTATTAACTGGCCTTCCCCACACTCAGATGGAATTATCCACCCGCCTCAGGGTTTGTCCCAGCATTACTGAGCTGCCTCTTCCTCCAGCACTGAACGCAGCTCTTGACTGTGAGGTGGTTGAACCCTAGCGCACGTGTGGTTTTCTTCTCCTGGAATCGTCAAGGACGTTCCCCACATTCCTGAGATGATAACAGACTGCACTGTGGAAGGGGAGTCAGGAAGTTACTGCCTTTTGCTATAGTCACTGCTTTTTCTCATTTTTCTCTCTGTTCGGCAAATGGTGTGCAGAAATAAGTCTGGTCGGGATGGAGGATATATCTTCCCTGTCTCCTGCTTCCCAAACCTTCTTTTTTAAAAAACAAACAAACAACCACCCAGATATGCTGGGGATTAAAACTGGGACATTCTGTGTGCCAATCCTGCACCAATGAGCTACCGTCTCTTCCCATATGCTGAGTGGGTGGGCCAGGTGAACAGCTTGTTGTTTAGTCGTTTAGGCGTGTCCGACTCTTCGTGACCCCATGGACCAGAACACGCCAGGCACTCCTGTCTTCCACTGCCTCCCGCAGTTTAGTCAAATTCATGCTGGTAGCTTCGAGAACACTATCCAACCATCTCGTCCTCTGTCGTCCCCTTCTTCTTGTGCCCTCTATCTTTCCCAACATCAGGGTATTTTCCAGGGCGTCTTCTCTTCTCATGAGGTGGCCAAAGTATTGGAGCCTCAGCTTCAGGATCTGTCCTTCCAGTGAGCACTCAGGGTTGATTTCCTTCGGAATGGATAGGTTTGATCTTCTTGCAGTCCATGGGACTCTCAAGAGTCTCCTCCAGCACCAGAATTCAAAAGCACCAATTCTTTGGTGATCAGCCTTCTTTATGGTCCAGCTCTCACTTCCATACATCACTACTGAGAAAACCATGGCTTTAACTATACGGACCTTTGTTGGCAAGGTGATGTCTCTGTTTTTTAAGATGCTGTCTAGGTTTGTCATTGCTTTTCTCCCAAGGAGCAGGCGTCTTTTAATTTCGTGGCTGCTGTCACCATCTGCAGTGATCATGGAGCCCAAGAAAGTAAAATCTCTCACTGCCTCCATTTCTTCCGTGAGAGATTTCCGTGAGAGAACAGAAAACCCACCAAATCCTTATCATCTCTCCTGTCCCAGTAGACACATGGATTTGGTTTCACAGTGGCAGCAAGAGAAGAGGTCCAGCCATCTGTGCATAATGAAACTGGGATGGGTAGATCCTGTGCGTATGTGTGTGTGTTTGTGTAAAAAGTTGTTAACATTTCCTCTAAAGCCGTCTTGGAGGCGGTGATGCAATCGGACAGCTGTCACCAGGATGTTAAGGGAGGAAGCTGCCCTGCAGAAATGTTTAACCAATGATGTCATCCTTTCATGGCAGCAATTCACCGTAAAAATCCAAGGGGATAAGGTTTTTCCTCTTAAGTGGAGCTGAAGTGTTTTATGTGCAATGGGGACACTGAACATTTGCAAGGCATTTTATGGTTCCAGCAGAGAAGTGCCCACATCTGAGAAGCTGAAAATCTGAAGCTATGTCCAGAACGCTAGATCTCACCACAAGTGAAGAAAAATCACACACACATTCATATGTTTCACAAGTTTGGTGGCCCACAGTCGAGACTGCTTGCATCCAAAATGATTTGGAGAGATCAGCAAAAGGAAGGTAGAAAGCTTTCAAGCTGCCTCTGATTTCAATGAGAATCAACTCATTTGTCTGAAAGAGGACTACACCCCAGGTTTTTCCCCCTTTAGAAACGTGGTTCATGTTTTTTAATGTTTTTATTTGTAATATTTTAGTGTTGCTCTGTATTGGAGGGGTTGATAACTCTGTCGTAGCTTGTCCTGGGATCAGTAGGAGCACATACTGAATCAGACCATTGGGTCAATATTGTCAACACTGACTGGCAGCAGCTCTCCAGGATTTCAGACCTTCCCTACCTGAGGATGCTGAGAATTGAACCCGGGACCGTCTGCATGGAAAACAGCTGTTCTTTTTACTAAGCTAGGGTCCTTTGCCGAATGAGCTATTAACATAGAAAGCTGGACCCCATGCATTGCAGGGGGTTGGACTAGATGACCCCCAGGGTCCCTTCCAACTCAACAGTTCTATGATTCTAAGTAAGACCATTGTTCTGTTTGGCTCAGTACCTGTTCACATGGCAGTAGCCCTCAGGATTTCCCCAGCCACTCTGGGGGGCTCCCAACAGAATAGAGTGGTACCTTGGTTTACGAACTTAATCTGTTCTGGAGGTCTGTTCTTAAACCAAAGCATTCTTAAACCAAGGTGTGCTTTCCCATAGCAGTGGGGGATTCAATTTGCAAATGGAACACACCCAACAGGAAGCGGAACATGTTCTGCTTCCAAGGCAAAGTTCACAAACCAAAACACCTACTTCCGGGGTTTGTGGCGTTCTTAATCCAAGTTGTTCATAAACTAAGCTGTTCTTAAACCAAGGTGCCACTTTATTGAAAGCACAATAAAACATTAAACATTAAAAACTTCCCTAAACAGGGCTGCCATCAGATGTCTTCTAAAAGTCAGATAGTTGTTTATTTCCTTGACATCTGAAGGGAGGGTGTTCCACAGGGCAGGCGCCATCACCGAGAAGGCCCTCTGCGTGGTTCCCTGTAACCTCACTGCTTGCAGTGAGGGAACTGGCAGAAGGCCCTCGGAGCTGGACCTCAGTGTCCGGGTGGAGACGCTCCTTCAGGGATACTGGACTGAGGCTGTTTGGGGCTTTAAAGGTCTGCACCGACACTTTGAATTGTGCTTGGAAACATATCAGGAGCGAGTGTAGATCCTTTAGGACTGGTGTTAAATGGTCCTGGCAGGCACTCCCAGTCACCATTCTAGCTGCCTCACTCCAGATTAGTTGTAGTTTCCAAGTCACCTTCAGAGGTAGCCCCACATAGAGTGCATTGCAGTAGTCCAAGCAGGAGATAACCAGGGCATGCACCACTTTGGTGAGACAGTGCCCTGGCAGGTAGGGTCTCAGCTGGAGTACCAGGTGGAGCTGGTACAGCTGCCCTGGATATCTGTGAGTCCAAAATGACTCCCAGGCTGAGCACCTGGTCCTTCAGGGGCACAGTTACTCCATCTTGGACTAGGGAGTCCCCCAGAAACAGTACTTCTGTGTTGTCGTGATTCAATCTCAATCCGTTAACTATCATCCATTTACCAACCTCCTCCAGACACTCAAATTGGGCATTCACCACTCTCACTGGTTCTGATTTAAAGGAGAGGTAGAGCTGGGTAGTTTTAGTCTAGTAAAATCAGGTGAGTTCCACGTTGGCTATCCCTGGTTAAGCCACACATCCCAACCTGCCCACTTTCAAGAATGGGTTGGTTGCTAGAAGGACGAAAAGCTTGCTTTTTAATAACGTCCACCGAGATAACATCTCTTCTGCAGAATCGCAAGCTCACATCCCTAATGAAGGCCCTCTGTGTGCAACGTTTTTCGTCCAGCAGCTCCGTTTCCCAATTCATTTCTGCTTCTGTGCAGATCAGACTTTTCTGCAGGTCTTTCCGCTTGGAGCTTGCTCCGTAGGGAGCTCTCTCCTGCACTCTCAGGGGCTTCTGGGTGCCACGAGCTGTGGGTGGCATTTGGCTTAGCCTGCTACGGCCAGAGAGAAAGAGAGAGAGGAGGCCGGACTGATCAGATACAGCAGAGGTGAAGGTTGCGCGGGAGACGTCAAGCGATGCTCTGCCTGCAGCTGTCCAAGCAACTGCGGTGGCATCATGCCACGTGTGTGTTTGCAAACGCGGGGAAGATTTGTTTCTACAAACTCTCTAATGACTTCAACAAGAGCCCCTTGATCAAAGAAAACAGACCCGGCTTGTCTTTTAAGTGAGCTGATTTATAGGCCCTTTGGGCAATGTTGCCTCGTTACGCCAACAGGAGCAAGCAGAGGGGGCTGGAATTCTTACTGAGGGCGAATAGAGGCTGCTTCTTTTTTTTTGCAACCGCAGCATCTGCAGATCCCTTGACAAGGGCCAGGGCAGGAGCTGTGACCTGTGGGGGGATTGTGGGGGGTCTGGGAGCCCTGGATATGTGCAGCCCTTTCCCAACGCCTGCCAGGGAAGCTGCCGTTTTTGTTTGCCTATTTCTTTCCATGTTATAGCACACCTGGATAGCTCATCTGGTTAGAGCGTGGTGCTCTTAATGCCACGGTTGCAGGTTTGATCCCCAGATGAGACAACTCCATATGCCTGCATTGCAGGGGGTTGGACTAGGGGATCATCAGGATCCCTTCCAACTTCAGGGTCCCTTCTATAAGCCCACCCTTTGGAGGCGCAGGTCAGTTCTGTGTCCAGGGCAGCTGTCTTACCAGCTCCATCTGGTACTCCAGCTGAGACCGTACCTGCCCGCAGACTGCCTTGCCAGAGTGGTACATGCTCTGGTTATCTGCCGCTTGGACTACTGCAGTGTGCTCTACGTGGGGCTACCTTTGAAGGTGACCCGGAAACTACAACTAATCCAGAATGCGGCAGCTAGACTGGTGACTGGGAGCAGCCGCAGAGACCGTATAACACCGGTCTTGAAAGACCTACACTGGCTCCCAGTATGTGTTATATGTGGACAGAGTGGGCAGGCTATAATAATACTAATACTAATAGAGTTGGTGTCAACCCCTGGAGGGCACCACATTGACTATGCCTGTGCTAAACCATAGTTTTGTGTTATGAGAATGAACCCAAGGCTACGTGGACTCAAAGCCTCCCCACTGTGTAGCACACAAAGTGAGTTCAGAAGGTCTGACTTATGTTCTGATTAACAGAGTCCAATCCCAGAAGGTTGTGATTCGGCTAAACTAAGTTTAGTTGAAACAATGCCAAACTTCAACCCACGGTTTATGAAGCTGGCTTGCTTTCACTAACCATCGCTAAGATCAACCACTTTTTAGGGTTCCTGCAACACAGCCCTGGTTCTAGTTCTCAGAACCATTCTTCTGTTTAAAGAAGCCAGAAAGCAGATTTCTCAATCCTCCACTTACAGCAGCCATGGAGTTAAGCTGATCAATGTAGAACTCTGGCCAGCTCGTGGCTCCTTTGTTTTCTTCTTGGTCCTGAAACAAAGAGACAAAGGGAACCAGGTCAGAAAACACAACACTGGTTTTGCATTACCCCAAGCCATTCACAGCTGCTCCCGAGACAGATGATTTGGTACACAATGATCCACCCTCCTGAAACTTGCTGATAAAAGTTACCCAAATAGTTCAGATTATAACTGGAAACTCTTGAGACGTGACATTTTTTAAAAGAGGTACTAAATGGGGAAGAGTTTATTCTCTTGCAGAAAAATGCTACTTGAGTGACAAGAAAATTACGAGCTGAAGATCATTCTTTAGTGTACACAGCAGAAATGGGCAACCTATTTTAAATCAAGGAACTCATTCCCTTCCTGTCCAGCATCCTTTGCGGAGAGTAGCCAACCAGATGACTATGAGGAGCCCACAAGCCTTTGGACATTTGGGGTGGCTTCATGTTAACTGCCCCTAAATCAGCATTAGAAACCCCCCAGGTGTACTTTGCAACTGGCAACTTTGCAACCACATGCAGATCTCTGAATGCCAGGCTGGCGACTGACCTCTCCATCTGGCTGGCCCCTCCAGCTTTCTTAAGGAGGCAAGCAGAAGACCTTATTTGTTGCATTTATCTCCCAACTTTTCCTCCAAGGAGTACATAGTTCACCCTCTTCCTCAGTTAATCCCTACAACGACCCTGTGAGGTATGGTAGGTTAGGAGGCTGCGAATGACTCTGAGGTCACCCCAGTGAGCTTCATGACTGAGTGGGGATTTGAACCCTGATCTCCAGGTCCTAGTCCGACACTCTAACCACTACACCACAACAGCTTCCTAGAGTCCTTCTGCTATGGGGCAGCTCTATAAATGAGGTAGGTAAATAAATATAGCCAAATGTCACTTAGAGAAGGCTCTGAAACATCTTCCTGGAAGCTTGAATTTCTTTCTAGATTGTTTCATTTGATGTTTTAATGTGTTGTGAACCACTCTGAGATTTTTTTCTTTAGATAGGTTTAGGGAATAAGTTTGTAAATATTAAATGAAGTATGGAGAAGATGGGAAGTTAGATGTACTTTAAGAAGATCTACTGTCAGAATATATGATTTTATTCTTTTGTTTATTTTGTGTTTGGTGTAACAATTGATGTAGATGTATGGTTTTTCTTTTTGATTTTTGTTGGTGTTTATAATAAAGCATAATAAAAAAGAGATTTTTTTTCTTTAAAATATAAAGCGGTACAGAAATGAAATGAATAATAGTAACAACTTTCTTGAAGGAAAAAAAAAGGCACCTAGACATTCCGTTGTGAGTACTGTAATCTAGTTTTAAGGTGCCATTTGGCAATTAGTTTATATATCTGAGTTTCTAGCATTGCCCTAAATGAGCCAAACATGAAGAAAGCTATGCTCATGTGTCAAAAGGAACGTCAGGTTTTAAGTAGGCCTCACTGTCCTGGTCCATGTTTCTCAAGTCACCCTTCCAAGTGACAGGCAATTTCTTACAAATTAGGAACTAAGGAAAAGAGAGGTGCGGAATGTGATAAGAAAACCAAGTTTGCTGCCAGTGAACCAGTTATCCCTGCTTACAAAAAGCTGGCAGATTCACGGTCATTTCTCCCCGTCCCCAGAGAGGATGGGGAGCACCAGCTGCCTCGAGCGCTGGGTATCACTGAACAATCCACTGCAGGAGAATTAGGTCACTCACAGACAAAACCGTTCACTCGGCTGGCAAAGAGCCAAGGGCTGGAGCGACGAGTTCACAGGAAGAAGAAGAAAACAGCTCTGCTTTCACGTTGCAAGCTCAAGCAAAACGGTGGATTAATTGTGGTGTTGCTCCAAGAGAGCGCAGCCCAAGGATCAGGATGTGAGGAAAGCAGGGGCCTAACCCAAAACATTGAGAGTTACATCTAAGTCTATACTCGTTGAAATTATTGGGCATGACTAACTTAGCATCAAACATTAAAAGCTTCCCTAAACAGGACTGTCTTCAGATGTCGTCTAAAAGTCTAGTAGTTGTTGTTCCTTTTGACATCTGGTGGGAGGGCGTTCCACAGGGCAGGTGCCACCACCGAGAAGGCCCTCTGCCTGGTTCCCTGTAACTTGGCTTCTCTCAGTGAGGAAACCGCCAGAAGGCCCTCGGCGCTGGACCTCAGTGTCCGGGTAGAACGATGGGGGTGGAGATATACTGAACCGAGGCCGTGTGGTGTAGTGGTTAAGAGCGGTAGTCTCGTAATCTGGGAAACCGGGTTCGCGTCTCCGCTCCTCCACATGCAGCTGCTGGGTGACCTTGGGCCAGTCACACTTCTTGAAGTCTCTCAGCCTCACTCACCTCACAGAGTGTTTGTTGTGGGGGAGGAAGGGAAAGGAGAATGTTAGCCGCTTTGAGACTCCTTAAAGGGAGTGAAAGGCGGGATATCAAATCCAAACTCTTCTTCTTTAAAGGTCAGCACCAACCCTTTGAATTGTGCTCGGAAACGTACTGGGAGCCAATGGGTCTCATATCTCCTCTCAGTCTTCTCTTCTCCAGGCTAAACATACCCAGCTCCCACAATCAAGGTCTTGGTTTCCAGACCCTCAATCATCTTGGTTGCCTTTCTTTGCCCATGTTCCAGTTTGTCAACACCCTTCTTAAATTGTGGCGCCTAGAACTGGAAAAAGTATTCCAGGTGTGGTTTGACCAAGTAGAGTGGGACCATGACTTCCCTTGATGTGGACACAAGTCTTCTCTTGATGCAGCCTAGAATAGCATTAGCTTTATTTTCTTTTTTCTTCTTCTTCTTTTTTTGACAAAGTAATAAGAATAAAAATGTGCACCCCACCACCGAGACCATTCCATTATAACTATCCAACCTCCCAAAATTTCAGCACCTGTTGCGATGGTTTGAGCCCTTTCCATTTTAACAGTACAAATTCTACAAACACCTTCTACAAACACTCTCCTCAAAATCGTTTCTCCTGCATATTTCCTGTCTTACCTTAATGGCACATGTTAATTTATCATGAATAGCTATATCCCACACCTCTTTATGCCATTCTTCTGTTTTATATTCTGCTTGCCCCTTCCACTTCCTAGCTATCATAATTCGTGCAGCTTTCAATAAATTTGTGAGCAGGTCCTTCATAGCCTGCAAACCTTCCACCCCATAGTAAACGGATAATAATGTTCCCTCTGGACTTTCAGTCAGCTTTAATCCAGTGATTTCTGTTATCTCCTTAAACCCCTTTTGCCAGAAAAATCCTACATATTTACACCCCCACCACATGTGAATATAATTCCCAGTGGTGGTGTAGTGGTTAAGAGCGGTGGACTCATAATCTGGTGAACCGGGTTCGCATCTCTGCTCCTCCACATGCAGCTGCTGGGTGACCTTGGGCCAGTCACACTTCTTTGAAGTCTCTCAGCCTCACTCACCTCACAGAGTGTTTGTTGTGGGGGAGGAAGGGAAAGGAGAGTGTTAGCCGCTTTAAGACTCAAATCCTAACTCTTCTTCTCTTTGTCTTCAGTTTCCTGGCATTCCCTCCAACGTAATACCAAATATTCTTTGTTTATTTGATTTAATCTGACTGGTGTTAAATACCATCTCCAAACTAATTTATAATACTTTTCTTTTATTCTTATAGACAACATTTTCAAGCATTAGCTTTCTTTTGCTGCTGCATCACCCTGTTAACTCAGGTACTTCAGATAGGTTCTGCAGCCCAAGGTAATTCACTTAGGGGAAGGCCATAGCTCAGTGGTAGAGCATTTGCCTTGCATGCCAAGGGTCTCAGGTAAAATTCCTGGCTTCTTCAGGTAGGGTTGGGAATGTCCCTTGCCTGAAACCCTGACGCGCCTCTGCTAGTCAATGTAGACAATACTGAGCTTGGTGGACCAATGTATGGTATAAGTAGCATCTACTTGTAGTCAGCATGCAGATCCGTCTCTTGGTTCATCTCAGACTTCACCACTGCAACAGGGTCCCCATTCAGGGGACCATCCATAACTGATCAAGGACTGCAAGGTGGAGACCTCCCAGGTGAAGATGTGCTCCCAACTCCCCCAGCAGACATAACAGGAAAAGGTGAAGTCTTTTGGCCTGTTATAACAAGGGTGTCTCTGAACATTAAATTGAAGCTCATACAACAAAATATTTAGAATATACTGGACCCCATTATGTTTGTTTTAAAAAAGGGCTATCTAAGGTATCTAACTGTTGGATATGCAAGAGGGATAATGCTTCTCTAAAACATGCTTTTTCATTGTCCTATATTGAAGGATTTTTGGCAGAAGGTAACTGAAACCATCAACGGAACAACCTTACATTTACAAAGCAAAATATCCTCTTGAATTATATACCCAGCACATGGAACCTCACAAAATATGAGTGGACTCTCTGTGCCCTTACCACAGCAAAAAGACTGATACTGATGAATTGGAAAAATAAAAATGCAGCTCCCTTCTATGATTGGATTGAAGACTTATACAAGCTTGCAACGTATCAACAACTTGCATATAAATGCAGACTTGCCATAGACAAATTCAAGGATATTTGGAATCCATTCTTACAAATACTGTAGTAGGTTAAGATCTGGTGAAGTACAATAACAACTTTGTAAATTATACAGTTTTGGCCCCCCCCCTTTATTTTCCTTTCTACACGGATTCTGTTTCTCTTTCTCTCTTTTACTTACGTCTCACAATGCTTTAGTGCACATATAATTATGGACTTCTTGACCTTTCAACAGAGATGTTTAAAAAAAAAAAAGTCTTCCGGCCAAGAGGTGATGGGGAACCTCTGACCCTTCTGAAGGTGATGGACTCCCACCAGCCTCACCTGGCATGGTCAGTGAGGGGGGGGGTTGTTGTCCGGCAGCCCCCGCAAGGCCACAGTTCCCTCATCTCTGTGTTCAGAAATGCAGCAACATTCATTTCCTTGTCTTTAAGTGAACCCATCTATGCGATTGCGAGTGCAAGTCTGTGGGCAGGAGGAAGAGTCGACAGCCTGAGAGGAAATTACAGAGACATTCTCTGCTGATTTCTTGGCAGCAGTGGTTGGAGCTGCTCTTGGTGGAGATTTTAATTGCAGTGGAGGAATCGGAGAGGTCAGCATCGTAAACTTTTCGCTGGGAGCTGAGTAGCTAGAAAGCCAGGACATGTTTGAGACCTCTTCGAAAGCAGTGATCCTGAATTATCCTGAGTGAGCAAAACCACCTCGTTCCAGAGCAGAAAACCGATTTGCTAGTGCTCAAAACCTTTTCGTGTTCATTAACTGCAGGAAGAGGAAACTCTACAATTGGAAAATCCCGCTCTCTCATAGATGTTACTGGGGGGAGGCAGACAGTGGGGGTGATATGAAAAGGGCCATCTTGGGATAGGGATCTAAATAGCCACTGATCCTACAAGTAAGTTCAACAGGAGTGTAACATTTTTTTAAAGCTCTTCTTCTTCTTCCATCATCATCATCATCCCAGGGCGGTTCACAACAGTTTCTTGGTGTCTGATCAACTAAATAAAATTTATCCATAATAGAATTAATAGGAAATAATAAAATAATCAGCCCTAAGTGCTCACTGCCACAGACAATATTGAAAACTTGAAAGCCTCTTTATCACCTCATTTGTTTTCTGGGGGTTTGGAGGTGGGGAAGGAAGTCTCAGGGCTGCATTACCCTGCCTTAACCCCTTTACACCCCCCGCTGACCACATCTAGTTATATTTTAATGCTACATTTCTATATGAAAGGATGTTGGTCATTTCCACCCACCCACTGCCCCAGGAAACGGAGTCGCATTTGGAAAAGGCAGGAGAAATTAGCTCAGCAATAAAACGTTTCCTGCTCTTCTCTCTTTCCTTCAGGCCTGGCCCAACTCTCAAAACCACAGAGCATCCCCAGACCAAACACGAAACATCGACACGGCAGACCAAATGAAACACGTCGAGAAAAGAGAGCGAGATGGAAGCGTACGCAGCAAAAAGTACAGTTCCCCTAGTCGATATATATCTCCACTCTTCTTGCAGAGAATGTGCGCGCTTGATTAAAAACCGAACGATGTGCTACGCTGGCCCAAGCAGAAATGTCAAGCGAAGGAAGCGAGTTTGCTCACTAGAAAAGTTTTGTCTCTTTTGGAAAGTAAATGCAGAAGTGCGATTCCTCCTCCTCCTTCAAGTAACCACAGGGATCTTACATGTTTATAGCTGCCAATCTCCGTTCCATTTCTGGCCTCGTTTACCAGCACACACTAAAATCTCTGCCTGCCAAGACTTGGTTTGGCTGACTGAAGTCATCCATTCACCGTAAGAAAGAGGCTTCCACAACTGTCAAGAAATTTAACACCTACAGCTCAAGCCAAGGAATGCCATTCAGTCGCCACTGGGGTTCGAGGGAAGGTTGTTGTGCTGCCACAAGGAAGTGGAATACGCAACAAAGCATGAAGTTTCAGGAGGGACAACGGGCAGAGATTCTTAAGTCACGCGAGCGACTGTCAAAAGTGGGTCTTCCACTCAAATGGAGGTAGCGCTTTTCAAGCTCTGCAGATTTCCCTTGGAAGCTGTTTGTTTTAATATTACCGTATTTTCGCTCTATAAGATGCACCAGACCACAAGACGCACCTAGTTTTTGGAGGAGGAAAACAAGAAAAAAAAAAATCTGACTCTCAGAAGCCAGAACAGCAAGAGGGATCATTGCACAGTGAAAGCAGCAATCCCTCTTGCTGTTCTGGCTTCTGTGATAGCTGCGTAGCCTGCATTCGCTCCATAAGACGCACACACATTTCCCCTTACATTTTAGGAGGGAAAAAGTGAGTCTTATAGAGCAAAAAATACAGTACTTAAAAACCATCTGACATTGCCACCATCTGGAGGTGCAGGCTTGGGGATCATCGGATCTTGACAGCTTTCACACACTAATACCACATGCTGTAGAATTATTTCGGTTGTATTTTATCTGCACCATCAGAATGAATTTCAGGAATTTCCGTGCAGCCTGAGCAGGAGCAGTGAACAATATTATAGTGAACTGTCATTGCTTGTCTTCACTTACCCCACTGCCCTGCTCACAGCTGCGAAGAATATTCTCACGTGATGAATGGTCCGTGTCACCATTAAGAAAAAGAGGTCAGAATAGGCCAATATATATGTGGACTGTCCTTGGATCAAGTGACTTTTCGTCATTTAAGTTCTCAAAGTTCTTAAACTAGTTCAAGGTTGTCATCTAAACAAGCCAGATGTTGAAGGGATAGTCATTCCGTCATCTGAAAAGTAAGACTTGAGAGCCATCTTCCTCAAAAATGGCAACTAGACATTCCATTTCAGGGGCTGTAACCTTGGTTTACAAGGGACGCGGGTGGCGCTGTGGGTTAAACCACAGAGCCTAGGACTTGCCGATCAGAAGGTTGGCGGTTCGAATCTCCATGATGGGCTGAGCTCCCGTTGCTCGGTCCCTGCTCCTGCTAACCTAGCAGTTCGAAAGCACGTCAAAGTGCAAGTAGATAAATAGGCGGGAAGGTAAACGGCGTTTCCGTGCACTGCTCTGGTTTGCCAGAAGCGGCTTAGTCATGCTGGCCACATGATCCGGAAGCTGTACACCGGCTCCCTCGGCCAATAAAGCAAGATGAGCGCTGCAACCCCAGAGTCGGTCACAACTGGACCTAATGGTCAGGGGTCCTTTTACCTTTACCTTTAACCTTGGTTTACATTTGGAGCCTAGGTGATATATCTGAGTTTCTAACACTGCTGATGTTAAACTCAGCTGCAATACTTCAGCTGTTCATTGCAAGTGCTGTATCTCAACTTATCCCCTACACACATGTATACCAACCATACTGGAACCACCCAACATTATAAAGAACATAGATCTAGTGGGAAATTTCTGCTTCTCACTCCAATTCCCCAAGGAACGTAATGGGACCAGGCTATACAGAGGCCAGATCTCATCCGCCCCCAAAAGCAGACTACTCATTTTGATTACAGGATGTTAATCAGCAAGGAAGGGGTGAAAACAGAGGATGCTTCATTGACTACATAGGAAGTGTCACCGAAGGCAATAGGCTATTAGCCTGACCCTGACCCAACATCCCCTTCTTCCCATCTGCCGGTTTGTGCCTGGGGGGGTGGAAGAAAGGTTAAATGAGAAGATTTCCTGGGAGACTAGGAGAATTGGAAAGCCTAAAGCATTGCCAAAGGGCAGAGGAGAGGGGGGCGGAAGAGATTTTGCTATATATTTTATTGATCCCGGATGGGCATAAGACCTAAGGCTTGTTTAAGGAGCAAGATCAGCAGAAGCATTTTTGCACATCTATCCAGGATTAATTTTACATCCCCTCAAGGGAGAGGAGTCATGTGCGAAGGAACATCTCAGGCTTGGGAGGCAAGTAGTCTAAGGACGTGATTGACCAGTTTCACCTTTGCAGCTTCTAAAAAAAACACCACACCAAATAAATTCAGGTGCTTTTATTAAATTGATACAATAATGGGAGGTGCCAATGAATATGGGAACTACTAAGGAAGGGCCTCTTTGCGAGCCCCACTTGGGCACCCCAGAAACTGGCATTCAGAGACATACTCCCTACAATAGATGTTTGAGTTTTCTGGAGGCTAGGGAAGTGGATATTTTAGAGAGGCTATAAATAAATATATCCACTAAGAATATGTTCGTTTCTAGAATCCTTATCCCACATTTTGACGACGTCCCTCAAAGCAGTTTAGAAAAGATAATAAAACAATTCGTTCCAAAGTAAACATTAAAATCAATTAAAGGCATCTATCATAAAGCAGGCACCTTAAGGCAATTTTAAAGCAATTTCAACTCCCAGCGG